GTTTTTAGCTGAGCTCTGCATAATTCATGATATATCAGTGCTTATATCTGTTGTGTGAAACGTATTTACTTCATTACTGTAATTGAATTGTTGGCATGTTGCATACTATAACTGTACAAACATCCTGCACAATGTACTGTGGTAAACTTACTTTTATGCAACACAGACACTGACCAACCACTATATCTTTGTTGTTTATCTGAAGGACTGAGAAAAAAGATGTGCAGGTGGAAGGCTAAGGATTTTTTATGAGGCACAGGAAGCAGCAGTTACAAACTGGGTTTTAGCAAACAATGCCATCACACTTAGAGAGAGCTGAAGCATAGTAACTATATGCTGAGATGCATGTTGCACAATGTTATTTTTGAATAAAATGTGATTTTTTTTCAACAACTCATTTGTATTTCTTCACTTACTGTATTTCTGTATACTCAAGCAATCTTTCTCTGCAGAAACCTCTATGTACTGTACAGAGCATAGCCCATAACAGATGAAAGTGCTTTAGATTATGCTCGGCAGTGTGTAGTTGGGTGGTCAAACCATCTAGTATTATGAATGAAGTGTGTTATATTTGGTTCAAAAGTTTGCATTTGGTAAGTGTTTATGTAGTTTTGAGTGCAGTTCTTCATTTAGCAGGAGAAATGAGGTGTTTTGCACTTTGGGTGTGGGGTTTTGTGAATTGTGTTTAGCGTTCTGAGAAACTGAGCAATTAAAAAAAAAATGTGTGTTAGCAATCAAGAAACTGTAATTAAAATAAAAAGTAGTTGCAAAAAAGCAATGGAAAAATTGACAGAGAAGTTCATGTGTAAACATTGAGATGCAATACAATGCACCTTATGGTGAAAGGTGCAATACAGATAAACTTGTCTCAACCCATGTGTCGAAATGAACCTAACGAACCTTTAGCAGTCGACTTTTTGCTGTATAGACCCTGAGGTAAAGTTCATCAGCCCATTATATCATGGAGACAAACAGCCTTCTCTGTCTGCACACAGGCTGGGGTCAGCCTGGTCAGCCTGTCTGTCTCTCATTCTGAAAAACCAGTGCTCACCCATGGCTGCTCATGCTGCACCTATCAGTGCTATGGGATAAACAGCCAGTGCTCAATCTCCGACATGAGCTGCAGAGTATCTGGAGTCTCAGTCACAGCCAGCTGCATTGATCTGGACTCCGCTTTCTCTGGATGAGTGATCACGTCAGAGCTAGCTCACAGGGGCAGGTATAGACATATACTTATGACACCCCACTGAAGTCATGTTAATATCAGTCCATAAAGCTCAAGACTCCTGTGTTTTCCTGCCTTACTGCCTTTGTCCGGCCCTGTTGTCAGGGCCGAGGTATGTATGGCACGACGGGGCTGCGCCTAAAACCTCCTGCAGCTAATGAATGGGAGGATGGACAGAGGCAAGGGGAGGAGAGGAGAGGAAACACACTCATCATCGCATTTAAGGAGAGCAGGACAGAGGGGTCGAAGAAGAGAGGAGATTGAGGGCGGAGGTGGGGGGGGCAGTAATGGGGTCTTTGTTCTGGTTGGTGTGACTCACAAAGCCTCGGCCGAGGCAGCGCAGCTTAGTTACCGTTACCAAACACAGAGAATAAGGAGGGAGGAGTGGTATGTGTGTGGTTGTCAGAACGAGAGGTTGTTTTTGCAACCTAATCAAACCGTACATGTCTTCTGGTTGATCCAATCAGGACATTTCAACACAGCTTCTGCTCCTCTGCCTTCACTTATACTAGTTTTGTTTTTGCTCCCGGTTGGATTCTTCACTTTCAGTCGATCACAGGCAAACAGCATTACACCAAAGTTGTACAATTACCATGTCAGACTTGGTTATGCGGGAGTTACATATAGAGTCATTTGAGGGTGAAACTGATATAGGTGACATCACTCTTGCCGTCATCTTTGATGATACAGGATTTCTTTGCCAGAAGTCATCTAAAGAGCAGATACTATTTTAAAAAGTGCTCTTTTTGTACCAAAGCATCTGTTACTTAAAGGACATGAATTAATGTATGAGTCACATGGCTGTTCTTGTCTAAGGTGAGTTTGTTGCCCAACTTCAGTTTAACGAACTGACCTGATAGCTATTAGGCAAAAATACAAATTTGAAGTTATAAGCATCATACAAGATGTCCTTTTTGTATCATATCGTACAAATAAAGATGAGAATGATTTGATCCGCGTTTTTTAGAACCGCAATTGTCAATGTGCTAATGACACTAATGTTGGTCACTGGATTCATCGAGGCTGAAATATTTGATTAACTAGCAAGTGAATTGATATGAAATTTGGTACAGACATCCGTGTTCCCCACAGGATAAAATCTAAACTAGTTTGTAAGATTCCTTGTTTTGGCAAAATACCTGTTACTGCCATGATATGTTTGAAATTGTGAATCACATGAACAGAATATGGATTAACCTTGAAGCAAAGCAGCATCATATTGCTTAACCCGGAGATGTGTTCTAAAACAAAACCAGTGTAATAATAATAAAATCGTATTACAGTTTTTCTCGATTGCTAACACACTAAAACGCTACATAAAGCACAATTATTTTAACTGACACACAAAGAGCAAAACATCGGCTCAAATCTCCAAAACTCTAAACACGTTTTCAGCTTTTCACACAATTTGCAAATTAACATGGCACTTTTTGCAAACCACTGCACACGTTTCTCCCCGTAAGACAAACAGGCATCTGACATAAAGTCACCTGTTAGCACATACATAACACTTATATTCAAAATGCCTCACACATGGACCAATGATCAAGAAACACGTTCCACCTGACCAAACACCTGATAGCATAATTGTTGGCTCATCAATCAGGATGTTAGCACTATGAAAAGACCACAGGTGAGTACTTTCTTACAGCAATAATGGAAGCCAACATGGAAGCAAGAGGAAGAGGAAGAGCTGGGCTGAGAGTGAGAGGAGGAGGAAGAGGTGGGGTGAGAGTGAGAGGAGGAAGAATGAGAGGTAGAGGAAGAGCTGGAAGGAGAGGACGTGGACAAAGAAGAATACTCTCATGATATATCAGTGCTTATATCTGTTGTGTGAAACGTATTTACTTCATTACTTTAATTGAATTGTTGACATGTTGCATACTATAACTACAAAAATCCTGCACAATGTACTGTGGTAGACTTACTTTTATGCAACACAGACACTGACCATCCACTATATCTTTGTTGTTTATCTGAAGGACTGAGAAACAAAGAGGTGCAGGGCTAAAGATGTTCTATGAGGCACAGGAAGCAGCAGTTACAAACTAGGTTTTGGCAAACAATGCATCACACTTAGAGAGATCCGAAGCATAGTAACTATGTGCTGAGATGCATGTTGCACAATGTTATTTTTGAATCAAATGTGATTTTTTTCAACAACTAATTTGTATTTATTCATTTACTGTATTTCTGTGTACTCAAGCAATCTTTCTCTGCAGAAACCTCTATGTACAGAGCATAGCCCATAAAGATGAAAGTGCTTTAGATTATGCTCAGCATTGTGTAGTTGGGTGGTCAAACCATCTAGTATTATGAATGAAGTGTGTTATATTTGGTGCAAAAGTTTGCATTTGGTAAGTGTGTATGTAGTTTTGAGTGCAGTTCTTAATTTAGCTGGAGAAATGAGGTGTTTTGCACTTTGGGTGTGTGGTTTTGTGAATTGTGTTTAGTGTTCTGAGAAACTGAGCAATTTAAAAAAAAATGTGTGTTAGCAATCGAGAAAAACTGTAATACGACGTGAAGATTGAGCGCAGTGAACTTTATGTCAGAGGAGGGAAGACTTTAAACCGACAATAAGTAGGAAGGAAGGACACAACTTAACCTAAATGTAGTGTTTGCAACACAACACCATTGTACTGTTAATGGTCAATAAGGCACAGAGATGTCATCAACAGTCCTCCAGCCTCCTACATCTACACATGGATCAACCCCACATCTCATATCTGTATGGAAGGTAGTGTGTCCAAGGTTTAGCTTTGCAGATGTTGTTCGGATATAAAACACTTATTGGAGGCAGAGATGATCCCATTGGCTCGGGGGCAGAGTACAGCTACTTTAAAATGAGGGATTTCCAAATGGAGTTTTGAATTAAGAAAGCCTGGAATCAAAATCAGAAGCACATTTTCTTATCTAAACTATTTTTTTCCATTGCATTACCTTCAGGCCCACTACACATAATGCAGTCAAATCAAAGAGTGAAGTGAAGTGTCCTTTACTCTCTGCCTCGTATGAGTGTTTAAACACTGTGATAGCATGGAGTCCAACAGTACGTAACATCCATTTCATTTTCTGAACCTTTACATTCTGCTTATTGCTTCCATACACAAGGGGGAATAAACTATAACAGCCGGGGCATTTCCTACAGCTGACACTTCAGAACCCTCAAGCAACATTTCCTTTTTTTAAACACTTATGTGCACGTTTAATCCAAGAGGTCTTAAGCAAATCTCAAGATAAACTTTTTTTTAAATTGACATGAAAAGAAAGAAACCCAAAATAAACCAGTAAATGCTATATGGATTATAACTGATAAGGTTCTCTGTGCATGTCAACTCAATCACTCAAATGTATTTGGATGAAATCATTATTAGCATTTTCTTTAGTTCTTCAAATAAATACCAGAACACAGAGAAATGTGGTGTAAACAGAATACGTCAGGTAAAGGGAGGAGAACACCATCATTTCAAACATGGGTTATTTTCTGTATGCAGTGACGGTTCTCAACCGTTATGGCTTATATCATATTCAAATAAAACAGTAAGATAATGTGTGGAACGTATGGAAATAAATGGAGAGAGTTGAAATGTAATGGTAAACGCTTTAATTTCATCAAACCGTTACAAGGTGGTGTTTTGTTCCATTTGTATACCTCAACATATAAATAGCAAAAACACAGTGGACCCTCATCATGTGAGTGTGTACTGTTGGAAAGGAAGCCTCTCTTCCTTTGGTCTGTGTGGTTTGGACCCAGCAGGGGGCAGTGTTGCTCAGTAGAGAGCCTCAGTGAGAGGCACCCTGTACAGTGAGTCTGTGAAGTAAAGTAGTCCCTCTTTACACTAATGAAGCATACATGTTAACATTCATAACGTGTTATTCATGTTATTAATAACTAAAGCTAAGGAAGGTAAAGATATGGCAATATAAAAATACTGTCTAATATCGGTATGAAATGCAGGTGAACTGCAGGTGCATTATGGGACGCTGATTCTGAATAGCTAAGCTAACAGAGGAGAGCTGTGGTTGGCCCACAAGTTGCTGGAGCAACAGTCAGAAACAAGACTGGAAAACTCATTCCAGTTCAAAGCAAGCTCATAGAAGTCAACTACTTTGTTCAACTGAGAACAAACGTGTGCAAATCTTTCACAACCATCTTATTTACAATAAATGACAGATATTCTCAAACGATGTCTCCCTGATACCCTGAGTACCCAGCCTGACAAACAGCTGATCCTCAGTCAGACTCAGGTGAACACAGCACATGGTAACACAGCTGGACATCCATTTTCATTATTCTGGATACACATCTTTTCACAGCATAGAGAAGAGGGACAATAACATGTTTGTTCATCATTGCTTTGAAAATTACATTTGTTATTTAAATGTGTTTGGCTTTGTGAGGACATCTGAGACCCCATGTGGTCTGCGTCTGAGACCACAGCTGATGATGAAAACTGAACAACAGCAGGATGACATTTAGGAGACACGTGGAATGATAGAATATGTGACATTCATAGCAACAGGATATGCTCATCCAGTACATTCATCTGCACACAATACGATTGACAACACAGATCCATTAAGCATTCAGTTATTAGTGGCATCAGTAGCTCTCCTCCACATGGTTACACATGGTGTGTGTGTGTGTGTGTGAATTAGTCACAGAAAGTTACATTATCTCTAGCGTATGGACATCAACACTTAGACATGTGAGGAGCCAAATGGAGTGGACTACACTGATTTCATGTGAGTATTAAAGTTAATCACAGTCAAAAAACAGTCACATTTAACACAGATTTATCAGCTTCGTATAGTGTTCACTGTACAACCCCCCCCCCCCCCCCCCGCATTCTTTACATTGCATTTAAGACAATGCATCAGAATGGACTCACGCTGACCACATCATTTTATTTCCCTTTATGCCTGCATGTAAAACATGGGAAATGATATTGCTCATGGGCTCTATGTGAAGGGAAACCACTAATGCAGATGTTTTTTGGTCATTAACACCTTGGTAAGGCCCACAGAGGAAATTACATTCAACCGTAATTAGATTTATATAGATGCAGCATTTTAATAAAGTTGTTTAGGGTGAAGTATGGCTTTTTCTCTACATGTATACAAGTCAGCATGGAACACTAGATGACTCAAAGGAAGCTCTATATAAAGTATTAAAGTGGGTTACTGTGCAGGTCTCACTGCGCTACAATACGGTGATCAGGTGGGCAGCAGAATACATCTGCTGTTCTTTTTTGGAAGTGCACATTTTACAGCACCCAACTGCCATTTTAAACACAGTGCAATTATAGTTCTGAACACATTTTACGAGATAGATCAATCATTTCTGGTGCGCTGGGTTTGCCAGCGCTGCATTCACACTGCGAGATACGTAACTAAAGTCATGAGGAGATCAGACCTCCTAAGGAGCTGAACAAACAAGCACAATCAGCGGGGCCCCTACGGCCCCCCACGGTTGATGCTTAGAGAAAGGCCGTATTCATTATTTCATTCATTTTGAAATACAGTTCTTTACATTTTACTGTGATGTCAGTCTGATCTCCATTACCTGTGTGTACAATCCGTGCCTCTAACCGTCCACAATTTGACAAAAATGGTCAAAACCAAGTCACCTGCAGTGTGAATGCAGTTAGTAATTCCTGTTCACTGTTTTGATTTATTTAACCTTTTTCTTGTTAATCAAGATCTCAGCATGTTAAGAAGAAAACGGATCTCATTTTGATTCAGTTGGATGGTGACGCTGCATTCACGTGATATCGGAAGGAACAGTGGGAAGAAGGAATGGCGGCTGTGGCTACAGCTCAGAACATTTGATTAGGGACATATGGAGATACCTTAAAATAACCATACACAAACTGTAGCAGACCAAACTGCTCTGAAGCAGAGTCGATTGTCTGACTACGAGTTACATTTTCTCATAATTATCTGCCATTATTTGCTATGTTAGCTCGCAGTTGACACAATTTCAGAGTTCCCACAGACACTATAATCATACATCCTGACTGTAACTGCTACTAGGTTACACGTTTCTGTGTGGTTAATATTTATCTTATAGTCACAGCTATTGCTCCTTGACAAACATATATAACGTCTCACAGCCTCCTACAACACAGTTGTTGTTGTTTGGCAGTTAGTTCTAGAAGTGCAGAGGACCCCGAATAGAGCCAGGTGGAACACAGAGGCCCCTCCTGGCTGGGAGCTCAGTTTGATCGTAGTGGAGGGTGAGGACGTCACGGAGGTGAGGTAACTGTTGGCAGAGCAGAAGGGTTTAGATGTTGGTTTCCTGCTGCATAGGTTCATCGCCCTTCTTCTCATTCTGGGCTTCCCTGTCAGCCTCCTTCTGACCCGGAGCTTTGTCCGGATCTTCCGTCTCAGTCCGTTTGTACATCTCTGCTGCCTTCCGCTCACGGTCCAAGAGTCTGTAGTTAATGAAGTTCCCAATGAAGAGCCAAACACTGGCCAAAATCACCACCACCCCGCAGCAAAAATACATGTACTTGTAGTTTTTAGTGACATCCACCAGTTTCCCTGCAAGACACACAAAGTTTAAAAAATGTTAAAGTATCTGCTCATTTATAAAATCTTAAGGCATTGCCAAGTAGAAAAAACATGTACAAATGTCAAGTATTATACATTATAGTAATTACTAGTAATATAAATGAGTAAAGAACTAGTTGTTTACATTAAAAATATGATTTCAATAGAACCTGAATCACAATTTCCATGCAGCAAAATTAATCCATGCAAGTCTTTTTGGTCAACTTCCATTAACTTTGACAAATGATGCTGATAATGCTGACCTTTGAAGGAGCAAAGAGGCGTGGAGCCTAAAGCTGCAGATGTGTTTTACTGTGTATCATGTCAATACAAGAGAGGCTACCATATCTTAAAGGGCCCATGTCATGCTTTTCTGGTTATTACCCGTCCCCTTGTGTGTTATGAAGGTTTTTCTGCATGTAAACGGTCTGCAGAGTCACAAACCCTCAAAGTACACCCTGTAGCGAGTAAAACTCTAACACAGAAAAAGACCTGTCTATGCTGCCCCAGAACGCCTCGTTGGAGATTTCTCTTTTTCCATTGTTTGCTTCCTGGGTTCAGTGACGTGTGAATACCCAANTCAACAACAAATGACCAGATTGGCCCAAATGGACCAATCCGCGGAGCACCTCACACACCAGGATCCCTTGGCTAACTAACAGGGAGTCCCCATTGACTTGCATCGAGCTCCCTGAACGCTGGTAATAGACGAGTTGGGATCGTGGAGAAATGCTCTCCGCAGACCCATTCTCACAACGTTATCAACCTTTTTCTTACTCAATATCAAGCCACACTTATTGTTTTTACTTCGGCTGTGAGTGTTTGTGTGTGCTCAGGATGAGTTTAGCTTGTTCTCGAAGCAGCGGCGAGCAGCAACGAGCCTCGCAACGTCCCGACCAATCAGAGCACACTGTGCTCACAGGGAGGGGGGGGCAGGAGCTCCAACAAGCCATTTAGGACAGAGAGTGAATACACATACTATACAGAGATGCTGTATGAGAAACCAATGTGAGTTTGGAACATTGAATAATTTAAATCTATTCTAGTAGACCTCAACAATGGAATCATGATCAGTTGAAATGGCCATGACATGGGACCTTTAATAACTGTATTGTAATCAACTTATATTCTACCCCCTCTGTCAGAGTATATCTCTTCCATAGAAAGATTGCAGTCAGTAATGACTTAAAGGAAGTGGAACAAATATGTTTTGTCTGAAAAGCTGTGTGAACATATTGAGCAGTTATCTTACCCTTTGCCAACTAGCTTCTGCAAATGGTCAGTACCAAGCTGCCAAGACCACTGTGCCTTTCTGGTGTGACGAGGCCTGAATATTGTTGTGAACTGACTCTAAACCAGAATGGCTAAGGACTAGGGCAGTACAAATCCTATATGTTGAAATATGCTTTCAGACAGACATATCTTACCTGCTAGAGGGGGACCAATGAGGACTGGGCAGCACTCCATGATGGTGGTGAGTCCCACAGCACTGGAGAACCGCTGAGGCCCCACCAGGTCCATGAGTGTTTCAAACAGCACTGAACTGACCATGCCAAAAGCAAAGCCGAAGAACATGGCATACACCACCAGGCCGGTGTAGCTCTCCACCAGGGGGCAGAGGATGTGGCAGACCCCATTGAACAGCACAGCAAAGCTGAAGAAGTACTGGATCCTGGGCCGGACCCAGCGAGAGTTGGCCAGCAGCCCCATGGAAGGCCGGGCAAACATGTCCACAAAAGCCAGAATTGAGAGCAGGAAGGCAGCCGAGTACTCGTCCACGCCCATGTCCTTAGCGAAGGCCGTGAGGAATACAATGGGTGCGAAGAAGCCCAGGAACATGATGATGTTTCCTGACAGGTAGATGAGGAAGCCACGGTGCTTGAAGAGTGACAGGTCCAGGTACTTGTTGACCGTTTCCCAGGCGGTCCGCTTCTCTTTTGTTGTGGTGGTGATGGCGATCTCTTCGCTCTTCTTGATCTTGCCGGGCGGCGGTCCGAGAGGCCTCATGAGGGAGCCGGCCACACAGCAGTTCAACACCAGCCCCCCCAGGATCAGGAAGCTGCCCCTCCAGCCAAACTGGTTGAAGAGGTACTGGTTGAGAGGAGCCAGGGTGCTAAGGAACACCGGACTGCCCGTCATTGCCAGCCCGTTGGCAATGGGGCGATTCTTCAAGAAGTATTTTCCGATCATGGTCAGAGCCGGCTGCAGGTTGAAGGCTAGTCCGAGTCCTGTGAGGAGAGAGGACAGAAGTGACTTGTAACAATTATTATTTAACTGTTACATACCAATGTCTAAGAGCACTGTAATCAGAAATGTATTTAATTTACCTTAATGAGAAACCCATTTTTAAATCACAAACTCAACAACATTAGACAGAGGTATGAATAGTATAATTGCAACCTGTTGAGGAGAAAAACAGAAAAACAATCACTGAGAAGCTCTGAGCTACTGGCTTTAGGAGCAAGCTACCGACACTCGTAAGTTATTGTCGTGTTTTCAGCATGCTGCCATGCTAGTTTGCACTTAGCTACAATATATAGCCTCATAGAATAGTTAGCATGACTGTAGACTCTTGGTCTTGTTAAACCAGAGAGCCAATCTCAGTTTTACTAATATGGATAAATATTAATTGGAAATAGCAATGCTAAACTTTGCTATAACATTAAAAGTCAATCTGAGAGTTTTTTTTATTATGGTATGTTTTTCCCAATGATGTAATCAAGGGCCCACCGGAGGCTGACATTCGTCGTCTCAAATGCGGTGCAATCAAATCTCTGCGTATTTCTCTATATTAATATTGAATAAATGTAGTTCTTGTAAGGCCTTCCTATCAGAAACGGAAATGGAACAATCAAAGCATATGTCCTTCCTTCAACAACAACTTTATTTTTAACCTGCTGCTTAGAAGGCTCATCAAATGAACTCAAATTGGACTTAAGTGGATAAGCTGGACTTACCACCGATAACTCCGATGCAGATGTAGAGCTGCACCACGCTGTTGCAGAAGGAGGCTGAGATCAGGCCAATGGAAGTAAGGCACCCCCCCAACATGACGATGGGCCTGCAGCCATACGTGTTGACCAGTATGCTGCTGATGGGACCTGGAACAAGGGAACACATGAAATGACCCACACATGTCAGTTGTTTACAGTGGACAGGATGAGTGAAAGTGAGCGCATAATGACTTAATCTGGTTAGTGCTGCACGGAGCCCAGCTGCTATTAATAGAAACAACTGAGCGGTTCCATTTTTAAACATGGCACTCCCATCCTCTCGTGCCAAATCAATTTAAGAGAAGCAGCTGACGGAGGGAAGAATGACAAAATACTTCCATATGGAGTCAGTTCTCTTTAATATATTGTCTTTTTTAATCATACGGTGTCGGAAAAAAAGGGTCACCAGGTAATATTGTATTCTCACGATGTGGAGAACCTTGATGTTTTTATTCAGGCAGCAGCAGCGCTGTGGCAGAGGTCTGTCGCTCACAGGCAGGACAGATCTTAAATCAGGTTAATGATGTTGTGACTGTACCGCCAGTTTAATTACATTATCTAAATCACTTAATAAGAAGTGAAAACAAAGTTCAAAGATAATATAATTAGCCAAACTGTCAATCGTAGAACAGACATTTGGTTGTGCACTGTGAACACTTTGACATACTGTACAGCACAATAGTTGTTTGACACACTTTTACTATGCATTAATCTGTAGCGGTTGTAATGTTTGCTACGATCTGTAATGAACATACAGTATGTGCTTCATGTATTCTATTGTACATTTTCATGTGAAGAAAATGTGGTTTTGAATGAAGCGGGATGTATTGAACCTATTTGAACTGATTGGTTAAATCAACATTCATTGATCTTCTTGGCCACTCAAACTGTACTGGGTGCTACGGCCTTCCACCAAATCCCATGAATAATTCCGTTATTCTGCTGACAGACTAACTGATGTGAAAACATGAGCTGCTTGAGGTTCCTCTCCCATACGGACTCATCTGTATTCTCAGTTCTCTTTGGGAATGTTGTTCAGTCTTCCGAGAAGCCAATATGTTACTGGGAGGTGGGGGGGAAGGTTTGTTTTATTCCTGACATCCTCAATATGTTTTACATTTTTAAATTACAAATGTTTACTGAATTTTAGCGATAAGAGCCAGAGACGATTTTTTAAATTGTTTTCAATTTATATCCGCTTATAAAACATCTGATCAATGTATTTACAGCTTAGACACTTGGTATATTACATTGAATGAATAGCGTTGCTGGAAACCAGTTTTTAGGAGTCTGCATCTCAGTTGGCACTGTCTCCTAGCTGAATTGTAAGAACATGAGGGACTAAATCGATTAGGAAGAGGGAAGTAAAAGTAATAAAATGTTATGTTTTTTTTTTTTTATACTAAGTACCAGCCAGAATAAGTTTATATTTTTCAAAAAGCCAATGGGTGAGAAGTCATAAGACTTCATTTGCTGTGCATGAATCTTTTTGACCTTGAGGACTTATTTCCCTCCCCAGCAGTGATCAGTATTCTCCAGGGGTTCGCTGGGACCTGAATTGGCCGCAATGAGGAAGCCTGGAGCCTGCACATTACCTCCTTTGTAGAATGGCTTATCTTCTACTGGCCAGACGCAGGGTGGACTTCATTACACAGCGGACAAAACCCCAAACTAAATATAACCACCTAGATGATCCCAAAAAGGAGTGACACATATAGAAATGTATCCAGGACCCTTTAATGTGAGCAGAGAGGCCGGGCAGCTCGGGGGGGAAGAGAGGACGCTGTATCCATCACATTTCAAACAGGATTAAAGAGAGGAGTGGAAGCAAACAACTTCTGAATTTGTTCTGCTGCAAGAGGACACACATGGGCTTCTGAAGGGAGTGTCTGACTGCCCATTGCACATATATCTCAAAGACATCAAGCAGCATACAGCCAGTTCATTTATGTGGTAAAAGTGTATCCAAGGTCAAGTTTAGAGAATGTTTACAGAGGGACCAAAGTGAAGGAAAGCGTGACATTGCTAGTTCGATATCCCAGACTGACAAAGAAGTTACCACCACTGTGGAGCACTTCAGCTAGGTAATTTCCACTGTAGCTGCGGGGCCATCAGATCAGAATGCTGCCAAACATGACGTCAACGAGGGCAGCAAGAGCGACTAAAAAAATATAAAACATCAATATCTTTACACCATACTGAAAGAGGCTAACACTGCCAGAAGGAATGAGGGGAACTGCTGGTGATGATTCTCTGTGGATTTGTCACAGATACCCTTTTCCACCAAACCGGTTCCAGTTCAGCTCCGAGCTGATGCTCTTTGAGTTTCAACCTGTTCTACTTTTTGGCCCCAGTTGTGTTTCCACCGCCCCGAGCCTGACTGGTGCTGCGTCATGACATCTCGTCACTCATTTTCTCAGCAACGCCGCTCACAATAACAACAATGGGGGAGTGCGTCGGGTCGATGCTCGTGTTGCTTTTAATAATACGAAGCCAGATTCAATTGTATAACTACTTCTCTAATGTAAAAGTCTTTTCCAGAGTGCATTAGTTCATTATTTACAGATGTGGTTCAGACCGCTGCAGTGCGGCTCGTCCACCGGAGTTTAGCCTACCTTTTAGTCACGGCAGCTGTAAAGTATTCACTGTCTGACTGTCACACAAGCGGCTGACGCATATTCGCCCCCCCATAAGTGGATGTGTGTCAGTATGAATGGACAGTGTTTGGCATCACAACGCCCTTATTAAAGCTTTTGCAACAAACCTAACTTAAGCTTTTCAGTTTATAGAAAACAAGACTTAATGATGCCGGGCTATTGTGCTACTGTTAGCCAATAGAAATGCAGGTTACTAATTGTTTAGTGTTATGCAACATCGCAAACTTTACAACAAGTGCGAACATCCACAACCTGAATCATCCCCACAGAGAGTTTCTGTGGATTTACTAAATACTGCAGTCTATGTGGATATATACAGTCTATGTTCAAACCTCTGCTAGCTGGAGCCACACAGTGACAGGACTTACCAGCAGCAAACTTTGACCCTGAGACTCTGACAGTGTTAATGCTGCTCCTCTGACAAGGTGTCGTTAGGGATAGGGTTAGGGTAAGATCAGGGAATATTGGTGTAGCATGTTTATATTGTATGTAGGGAACAAGAGTATTACCACCAATTATTTAGGAAAGGCTTAGCATTGACTATACCATGATTACATAAGATACCAGGAACAATCACTCCGTTACTTTAAACACTAAAGATTATTCTGTCCTAGTTGTTTCAGCTGATGATTATATCAGAATTATTATTATTATTTATTTTTGTAACAAACATTGATTTTATTTATCAGACAAAATGTAGCTTATTATATTGTGAGGACAATGGACTGTGTGTGGCAAACTATTATTACTCTCCGTAACCCCTTAGTCAGAATTATTTTTTAAACTTTACTTAATCGCTTCTTTGGTCCAAGGTGATATCTTGAAATGTCTTGTTCTGTCAGCCTGAAGATATTCACTATAATATGATCTAAAAACATTAAACAAGCTGAAAAAACTAAATATTTAAAAAGGTATTTTCTGTCATTCAAGCAATTTTCTTGAAGGATTAATAGGCTATCAATCGATCAGTCCACTAGTTCTTAGCTGTATGTGTTGTCGTGTTGACTGAATGAATGTAACGTGGGTGTGTTTTCCCGCTGTCCAACCCAAGGTCAAGTCTTTCTCTTTTTTTTTGTGGATTAGTGACACTGATCCTTAAACACGTCATGGCAGCGCGCTGACCGCCTGCTGCTGATGTAACTCTGTAATGGACCGCAGAGCTGAAGCATGCCCAGCCCTGTTTTATCACAGTGTGTTATCACTTGGAGTTTACTGCCTTATACCAGATTCATTTCTTAAATGTTTCAGAACAAAGAGTACAGGTGTTCCCTCTTTGACACAGTAACACAGTATTATAACGACATTTGTTTTCATTAAGGATTTCTGTTTTTTGGTCGGCAATTTATTTGCATTGTCGCTCGGGCAACACAACGAGAGGGTGCGTGTGTTAGGCTCAGTCATGGATTTGACCTTTTTTGCTTTTGGTTTCAAAAGCTAGAAACAAGATTGTATTTTATTCTGAGTTAATCCAATGTTGGCAGGTGTCGAGACATGGTTATCATGTTGCTCATTCTCAGGCACCTTCCAGTAATGACTGCGCACACACACAGCGGGGGGGGGCGGCGGGTAAAAGGCGTCACACATCCAAACAGTGATTGCTTCATCAGCGTAAGAGTAGAACAAGAGAGCAGATATTTAATGAATAGCCCATGAGTGCAATCGATATCAACGCTTACACTCTAAAAACGAATTCAGGCGACCTTTCACCTCCACTTAATTAAATGCATGGTTGCAAGATAAAAATGTGAGTTAATTGATTTAGATAAACATTTTAAGTTGCAAACATTAATTTATAAGTTGTGTTGATGTAATAATCTTGGTAATTACATCAACTTAATATTGTGTGTAATTTGAACTCTGATTTCTGCGCTAATTGTCTTAAAACTAAATTCAAGTTGTAGTAAGTAATGCAATTGGCTTGATAACTTAATTGTTCTACACCTTGAGTTAAGGATTTCAAGTCCACTCCCACTTAACATGCCTGGACAAATTACCACAGTTAAGACAAATAGAAATATACAAAGGACATTTTAAGGTGAGTGTCATCTTTTGTCATTCAATTACAGCAGATAGCCTTGTAGTTGCACTGTATAGGCAAATTGCTGTTTGACCAAAATTAGCAGCCTTTGAACTGTGAATAGTTCTGTGAGAGGATACAAAGTAGTAGAGGCTACTGTGAGAGTAAACATACTTTGGTTACTATTGTGATATCGCTTTTTATTAAAAATGAATCTCGGTGAAGCAGATCAAGGAAATGCTTCTTGAGGTAGGATAATTATTTAGAGTTGTCATTGAAATGCATGTTGTTGGCAGTCACCCATTCAGAACATATTAATTTAGGCAATTTCCCTTTTTTGCCTTTTTCAAAAATAGCACAATACAATTGAAGTACGCAAAGAACTATAGCCTTCCGCTGCCTTGTCGTGTGCCTTGGAGAAAAGGAAGAGGACC